AACAGATAATCAGAGCTAAGCCAAAATTTTTAAAAAATGAAGATTAAACTAAGGTAGTGGCAGCTGCAATGAAGCAATGTGAGCACACAATTATTAAGGAGGAAGATCCACTCATGTATAGTTCAGGGGCAGGAAATATTTTCCTAGTCTTGGAGTCAGCCAGGCACATCCTGGTGGTGTTTGACACTTGATTTGTGGATGGCAGCTTACTAAAAAATTCAAATTAAGTAATAAAATTCCTTATTTAAATTCCAAGTTTAGCAAGCAAATTTTGAAAATGGCTGTGAATAACTAAACCTCTAGCTATTGTATTTCTCATTGGAGACCAATGCACTAAAATTCTGGTTTCATATATCAATTTAAAAGTGATAATATAAGAGACCCTGGGCCTGGTGCAGTGGCGCCTCCCAAAGTGGAATCCCAGCACTTTGGGAGGCCGAGACGGGTGGATCACCTGAGGTCGGGGGTTCGAGACCAGCCTGACCAACATGGCAAAACTTCATGTCTACTAAAAATACAAAATTAGCTGGTGTCGTGGCACATGTCTGCAATCCCAGCTGCTTGGGAGGCTGAGGCAGGAGAATCACTTGAACCTAGGAGGTGGAGGTTGCAATTAGCCAAAGGGCAAAACAGTGACACCCCATGTCCACACACACACACACACACAGAGACCCTAAATCAAATCAGACCTATCTTTATGGTAAATTCCACCTGTTTTCAGATTCAAATGCTTGATTGGGGGAGATAAAAAGCATGTTTGGGGCAATTGAGGAAATATAAATATAAGCTCTGTATTAGATAATGGAAAATATTAGTGGTTTTTAAGGTGTAATAACCATTGTGGTTATGGAGGAACATGTTCTTATTCTCGGGGGATATAATTTGTATATTGTGGTGGTGTTATGTTTCTAATTTACTTTTTTTTGAGACGGAGTCTCGCTCTGTCGCCCAGGCTAGAGTGCAGTGGCACAATCTCGACTCACTGCAAGCTCCGCCTCCTGGGTTCAAGCGATTATCTTGCCTCAGCTTCCTCAGTAGCTGGGACAACAGGCACCCACGGCCACACCCGGCTAATTTTTTGTATTTTTAATAGAGAAGGGGTTTCACAGCGTTAACCAGGATGGTCTTGATCTCTTGACCTCGTGATCCGCCCGCCTTGGCCTCCCAAAGTACTGGGATTACAGGCGTGAGCCACCATGCCTGGCCTCTAATTTACTTTCAAATGGAAAAAAATCTAGGTGAAGGGTATATTGGTGTTTATCATACTATTTTTCAAAACTCTCTACATGTTTAAAAATGTTCATAAAAGACTGAAAAAACTTCTAACCCTTGAAATCATTTAAAAAAGTGCAAGAAACGTTGAAAAGATATTTGAGAAAATGTGAGCTTTTTAATGTAGTATTTTGGTTTTGGTTAAATAAGACATTTTGAAATATTTTACTTGATTGTGTTAATTTAAAATTTACTTCTTTAGGCTGGATTACACCTGTAATCCCAGCACTTTGGGAGGCTGAGGAGGGTGGATCACTTGAGATCAGGAGTTCAAGACCAACCTGGCCAACATGGTGAAACCCCCATCTTTACCTAAAAATACAAAGATTAGCCTGGGGTGGTGGTGTGCGCCTGTAGTCCCAACTATTTGGGAGGCTGAGGCAGGAGAATCGCTTGAATCCGTGAGGAGGAGGTTTCAGTCCGCGGAGATCATGCCACTGCACTCCAGCCTGGCAACAGAGCGAGATTCTGTCTCAAAAATAAATAAATAAAAATGTAAAAACACACCCACAAAATAAAAGCAACTAAGTTTCATTACTGGCACAAGAAAATGAATCATATAGTCCCACTTCTTCATCTTATTTTTCTCCATGGCATCTTTCAGTCTTTATGTATGAAAATCCATGAGGGCAGGGTGGGTTGGCTCGCGCCTGTAACCCTAGCACTTTAGGATGCCGAGATGGGCGAATCACCTGAGGTCAGGAGTTTGAGACCAGCCTGGCTAGCATGGCGAAAGCCCGTCTGTACTAAAAATACAAAAAAATTAGCTGGGCGTGATGGCGGGCGCCTTGTAATCCCAGCTACTCAGGAGGATGAGGCAGGAGAAAACTGCTTGAACCCGGGAGATGGAGGTTGCAGAGAGCCTAGATGGAGCCACTGCACTCCAGCCTGGGGGACAAGAGAGAAACTCTGTATCAAACAAATAAAGAAAATAAATAAAGAAAATCCATGAGTTATTGTATCACATTATATGTTTATAATTTTTAGGTCTTATTTTCAAATTGAAAATAGTTTAATTTTCAGTTGCTCATTTTAGGTTTTTTTGTTTGTTCTGGTTTTTTTCTGAGATGCAGTCTCGCTCTGTCGCCCAGGATGGAGGGCAGTAGCGCGATCTTGGCTCACTGCAAGCTCCGCCTCCCAAGTTCACACCATTCTCCTGCCTCAGCCTCCCCAATAGCTGGGACTACAGGCGCCCGCCACCACGTCCGGCTAATTTTTTTGTATTTTTTGGTAGAGACGGGGTTTCACTGTGTTAGCCAGGATGATGTCGATCTCCCGACCTCGTGATCCACCCACCTCGGCCTCCCAAAGTACTGGGATTGCAGGTGTGAGCCACCCCGCCTGGCCTCATTTTAGTTTTGATGCAAATATGGCTAAACCCTCCCTGGTTCTGCCCCCCGGGTTCAAGCGATTCTCCTCCCTCAGCCTCCGGAGTAGCTGGGACTACAGGCATGCGCCACCACGCTCAGCTAATTTTCTTTCTTTCTTTCTTTCTTTTTTTTTTGTATTATTAGTAGAGACAGGGTTTCACCATGTTGGCCAGGATGGTCTCTATCTCTTGACCTCGTGATCCATCCACCTCGGCCTCCCAAAGTGCTGGGATTACAGACTGAGTCAACGCGTCCGGCCTATTTTTATTTACTTACTCTTTTTGAGACAGAGTCTCGCTCTGTCTCCCAGGCTGGAGTGCAGTGGGCGATCTCAGCTCACTGCAGCCACTGCCTCCGGGGTTCAAGCGATTCTCCTGCCTCAGCCTCCACAGTAGCTGAGACTATAGGAGCGCACCACCATGACTGGTTAATTTTTGTATTTTTTGTAGAGACAGGGTTTTGCCCTGTTACCCAAGCTGGTCTTGAACTCCTTAACTCAAGCGATCCTCGGCCGGGGCCTCCCAAGGTGCTGGGAGAACAGACGTGAGCCACCGCACCTGTCCCCTTGTGGGTGTTTTTAAAATTAGAGACACTGAGACCCCGACTGAAGAAGGTAGGCCATGGGGCTGCTGTTGTCTAATATTTCTTAGAACTCACCCGGCTTGTATGGGCAACGCAGCCCGTTTTCACTATTCTTTTTCTTTGCAATCTCCACGGTCCTCCGTGTCGTACTGGTTGGAAGGTCTTTGTTCTTTGACTCTAGGTGGGGAAAGCCAGAACGAGGCTTCGCCGCACCTGCCGCAATGCCCAATCTTCCACTGGCATTCCAGGCAGCGCTTTCCAACCACGTGAGGGATACCTAACCACTGGAACTAAATAAGATGTGGGGGAAGAATTGAGGTCATCACCTAAATTGCTTGATACTCTCTTTTCCAGAATACAAGCCTCCTTTCTGAGTTAATGGCAGAAAGTGAATCACTTCTTTCTTTCTTTTCTTTTTCTTTAAGACGGTGTTTCGCTCTTGTCGCCCAGGCTGGAGTGCGATGCCGCGATCTCGGCTCACCGCAACCTCCGCCTCCCGGGTTAGAGCGATTCTCCTGCCTCAGCCTCCAGAGTAGCTGGGATTACAGGCATGGGCCACCACGCCCAGCTAATTTTGTATTTTTAGTAGAGACGGGGTTTCTCCATGTTGGTCAGGCTGGTCTCGAACTCCTAACTTCAGGTGATCCCCCTGCCTCGGCCTCCCAAAGTGCTGGGATTACAGGCATGATCCACCGCGTCCGGCTAGAAAGTGAATCATTTCTGTATTTGATTGTACGTGAAGCCCTCCGTAGTCCTGACTGACATCACGTCTCCTTTGGACCTTGATTACACTCCGTGTCCTTCATCTGACTCCTCTCTTCAGATTCCTGAGTCACGCTCTGTTTATGTTGCTGTTCAGGAGCGAACTGCGGCGCGGCCCAAACACTGTGACGCCAGCGCGGGAGGAGGGCCGCGGGAGGGGCAGCGGAAAGCGCAGAGGGCACGGTGCAAGCACGGGACAGCTCTGCATTGGCCAAAGGGATCCCAGGAGGCCTGGGCCTCTTTTGCCCTGAGGCTGGATCCCAACCAGCAGGAAAAGGATTTTCGCCTTTTGTATTTGTTTTGGGGCCAAACCAAGAAAAACAGTGGAGGGGGAATAAAACATGTTTAAAATTGTTTTTGTCTTAAAACCGTCTTTCACAGTCACAAAATAAAACACAACTAGAATGTTTTGATGTTTGCAATGACATCGATTTTGAAAAACGTTAGCCAGAAAGGAAACGCAGTTAAGACAGCACTCGGCCGCCCCCTGCCCTCCGCGCCTGGCGCCTGGGGGGCGGGGCGGGGCGCGCGAGGTGACGTCACAGCCCGACGCGCCAGCCAACTGTTTTTGTGCTCCCAGCTCCAGCGAAAAGCCGCCGGTGTTTCTCCACCTGGCTCTCCTCTATCTCCAGGCAGGCTCACCCGAGATCTCCCCACACCGAACCCCCTCTGCACGCTCGGCCCAGCGCTGTTGCCCCGGGAGCGGACGTTTCTGTAGCTATTTGAACACACCTTGACGTCGGCGGAGGGAGCTGGACAGGGCCAGCGGCGAAGGAGGCAGGCCCCGCGCGGGGAATCTCGGAAGCCCTGCGGTGCATCATGAAGTTCCAGTACAAGGAGGACCATCCCTTTGAGTATCGGAAAAAGGAAGGAGAAAAGATCCGGAAGAAATATCCGGACAGGGTCCCCGTGAGTGTAGAGGAGCGGGGGGATGGGAGGGGAAGGGCCCGCGGGGGCGGGGGCTGGGAGTCGAGATGGCTTCCCTGGGGCGCCCAGGCGGCTCTGGGGAAGGGAGGTGCCGATAATTAGTTAATCCTGAACGCCCTTCAGTGCCCAAGCCAGTGGAGGTCCAGACTGCGGAGCTTTTAAAACCACATATGCCTGGGGCCCGAACCCCACTTGAGGGCTGACGGCGTTTTTGGGGCCGAGCTGCCGTCTTCAGTGACTCAGCAACCCACACGGTCTCAGCAATACTGAGACCCTGTGTGGGTTGAGGTGCGCAAAATAGCGCCCCTGTGTGCGAGAGTGGTTAGATCAGGGCCGTGGATTGGCTACCTTTAAGAACGCGGGGACATTGTGCTGTGCGGTGAGGTTTGCGCAAACCCGGTCGATTTCTGCCTTGGACGGTTCTCCTTTAATGAAGTTGACTTTGGCTGTCATATCATTGGGCTTGGGAGGAAAAGGTTCAGAAGCTATTCGGTTCTTTTCTTGCATTACAGGGGGGTAGGGGAGCACAAGACAGTCCGGGCCTGGAAAACAAGGTCACGTTCTCTGCGCAACAGCCCTCTTGCCTCATCGTTCTAGGCTCCGGGAAATGTGTGGGGACAGCCAGCCTCCCCCGGTATTGATTTCTGATCACCTGGTACCTGCACGCGATAAGGCAGGACTGAGACGTTTTTTCTGTGTTTTGGACACCGGCTTAAGTAGTTAAAACTAGCGCAGGTAGTGAGTAGGAACAGAGAAGAAATATTAGGTATCTTTCAGCATCCGGGCGTTTTCCCCATTACCCCCTCCCCCGCCCCTTGCCTGGTGTTTCTCTAATGTGGCCTGCGCAGCCGAATTGGAGGGCAGAGTATGACTTTTAAGTGGTAAAGGGACCAGCAGCTGTTGGATTTTGGAAATGGAGGAGCGGAGATTTTTTAAATTGTGCTCTTTATCTTCAGGTAGGAACATCAGGATTACATGTCACATCATGGTAAAATAATTGCTGTTATCTGATGTCTTTTCTTGACTCGCAGCCACTCTGGGTTTCTTCTCTAATCCTTACCTAACGTTCGTGGTTTTATAGCTACCAGAAGCCAGCAGAGCCTTAGCCCAGCAGTAGAAACCTCTTGTACCCCTTTTCCTTAAAAAAAAAAAAAAAAAAAGTCATTAGGGCTCTTCCATTCCTCAGGAATTGCCAAAGGGTTTTCAGTTTATAGAGGGGTGAGCTAATCCCTTACTCGGTAAAGGATCCTTTACAAAATACTTTGCTGGTTTCTGGACCTTGGATACCTGAAAATTTTGCCCAGTTCTGGTGATACCAATCTTTCGAGCAATGATATTTAAAAAATGCAGTCATGTTTTACTAATAGTTTACAGTAGCAGTATAAGTACTCAGTCTGTAATCATTCGCTTAATCTTTACACGATTATAATCCCCGTTCTACAGACGGAGTATTCAAAGCACAAAGAAATGCGGTAACTTCCTAAAGGTTTCACATGCTGATCTGTGGTTGAGCCGGAATTCTAACCCTGTCTGACGGACTGTGGAGCTCTCGGAGACCTTAACCTCCGTGCCATACTGTTTCTCAGTTTCTAATATAGTTGTATTAACCAGAATTAATGACGTGCTGTGGACTTCACACTGTTAAGTATTGGAAATAGATAAATACTTATGTGTATTCTCAGTATTTCAGTGCATTCTGTTCTTTTCATGCTCATAGTTTGGTGTTAAATGTTTTACTCCTGTGATAATTTTTAAGCCATTAAGACTGTCACTCAGATTTCCGCTTCCCTAGGGTTATGTTTTAACCAGTGCTGAGCTGCTCCCAAGGTGCTCAGTCTGTGACCTTCTTTCTAGTTATGACGCAGGTTCCTTGATTTGGTTCTAGTTCTGGGAATTCACTGCATCCTTGGGCAGAACTTTTAATCTTGCCGTGCTAGATAGAGTGCCTTGTTTACAGAAAAGAGGGTTATAGTAGTGGTTCCTAAAGCCCATTCCAGCTTGACCATTGGTGTTATTCAAGCAGTGGCGTATCCTGACTGCTCGCATAACCAGAGTTTAGTCCCACCAGTATTTCTTCAGAGCTAACAGTTGAAAAGAAGAGGTGTGCTTGTGCCTTCAGAGAGGAGGGGTTGGTGGGATCTTGAAATTATCTTCAAAGATACAACATATCAAAAAGACTGCTAGAAACAGATTGTCTATTTTAAAAATTCATAGCCCTGCTGAGTATTAGTCACATTTTACAAATGAAAACTGAGACCCAAAGAGGCAAAGCATCTAGCCCAGGGTCTACCATAGTGAGGAGTAGAGTTGGGATTCCTGGAAATTTAACCTTGGGGGAAACCAATCCTTTAATAATTACCCCTCCCCCTTTTCTTCCTCTCCAAACCCCTGCCTTCCCTCCAGGTATTGCGGTCTGCTTTATCACTTTCTTTTTCTGTCTTCCTTTGTGGTTTTTCTCTCTTACTGCTAGGTCTCAGAGTTCCTTTGGGGCACAATGCTAGCCTCTTTCTGCCTTTTCCTTTTAATTCCTGGCTTACATTACCCTATTTCAGTTTTTATTTTTAAATTTAAAATGTGATCATGTCCCTCTGGTCTTCCTGATTCAGGATTTTTTCTACAAGAACATAAGTTTTTGTTTTTTTAAACTAATTTTAATCTGTTCCTTTTAATTTAAAAGGTTCAAACTTCCCCCCCAAGTTAATTATGTCAGATAATTCTTTATAATTTATGAAGCATTTTCAAGTAAACTTTTATTTATTACTCACATTCACATGATATTAATAGCATGACTTTGTTAAAGATGTGTTAGAAAGTTTTCAGGCTGGGCACGGTGGCTGACACCTGTAATCCCTGTACTTAGGGAGGCTGAGGCAGGTGGAGCGCTTGAGGTCAGGAGTTCGAAACCAGCCTGGCATCATGGTGAAACCCCATCACTACTAAAAAATACAAAAATTAGCCGGGCGTGGTAGTATGCGCCTGTAATCCCTGCTACTCCCGAGGCTGAGGCAGGAGAATCGCTTGAACCCGGGAGGTGGAGGTTGCACTGCACTCCAGCCTGGGGGACAAATGTGACTCTGGACCTCAAAAAAAAAAAAGTCACTGGAATGCTGAAGCTGAGAGAGAGGTTACGTGACCTGTTGAAGATCACACAACCCCTAGAAGTACTTGTACAGTGTTTTTTTTCCCTGCAACTTCACTTTTTTTCCTGCATTTCCCCTATCTTCTAACTAAAATGACTATATTTTCTTTTCTTTTTTTTTTGAAACCAAGTTTTGCTCTTGTTGCCCAGGCTGGAGTGTAGTGGCCCGATCTTGGCTCACCGCAACCTCCACCTCCCAGGTTCATGCAATTCTCCTGCCTCAGACTTCCTGAGTAGCTGGGATTACAGACATGTGGCACCACACCCTGCTAATTTTGTATTTTTAGTAGAGACGGGGTTTCTCCATGTTGGTCAGGCTGGTCTCGAACTCCTGACCTCAGGTGATCCGCCTGCCTCAGACTCCCAAAGTGCTGGGATTGCAGGCGTGAGTCATTGTGCCCAGCAGTGATTGTATTTTCTAAACTAAAAGTCTAAAGCTCATTATTTTACAATAGATATTTTCTGTTTGGTAAGTTTTAGTGTATAAAAAAAACTTTTGAATTTGTATATATCTAGTACAGAAATACATGATTTTTATACAACTTGAACTATATATATGTAGTTCAATATAATGTAGACAGAAATCCCTTAAAAGCCTAACAATCTAAAGCCTAAAGCTCGTGATTTCACAATAGATATTTTCTGTTTGGGAAGTTTTAGTGTATAAAAAAACTTTTATATTTTTATAGATCTAGTACAAAAATACATGATCTTTATACAACTTGAAATATTATAGAAGTATATAATGTGGACATTGAAAATCCCTTAAAGTCCTAACATAATCAGTATCTATTAATGGCTTGTTGTACTGACATCGTATTATAGGATGTCATTGTCAGACTTGTTTTAACACTGTTTCTTTTCCATTTAATAGTGTTTGAACAATCTTTACAGTTCTTGGAAATTTTGACAAAGTATAAGATTCAAACCACATTATTGGTACCTTTAATAAATTGTATTTATAAGAAATAACTTATAGGTGATCAGGATCGTATGAGAAAACCCAGTTTTCTTGATGCTCTAATTAAATACCAGAAGGTGGCCAGGCACGGTGGCTCACATCTGTAATCCCAGCACTTTGGGAGGCCAAGGCTGGCAGATCACTTGAAGTCAGGAGTTCGAGACCAGCCTGCCCAACATGGTGAAACCACATCTCTATTAAAAATACAAATACTTAGCCAGGTGTGGTGGCGTGTGCCTGTAATCCCAGTTACTCAGGAGGCTGAGGCAGGAGAATTGCTTGAACCCAGGAGGTGGAGGTTGCAGTGAGCTGAGATGGAGCCACTGTACTCCAGCCTTGGCGACAGCAAGACTTCATCTCAAAGATAAATAATAAATAAATAAATACCAGTAGGTATATGTCCTATAGTAGATCTTACAGATAACTTGTAATTACTTAAAATCAAAGTTCTTTTTACTTTTCATCATGTACAATCTCTAGTTTATTTTTATTTTAGTAATGCAGCTATAACCTCACTAAGGAAGCCCATTTTTTTTCATATAATTTTATCAGGGGTGGGGGGATAAGAAATGCAACAGGTGTCCTAGACAGATTCATTTCCAGTAGTAACTAGGCAACTCTAGGGTGTGGAAGGAAAAATACTAGATTGCCTTCTGTAGTTTTCATTCCTGCTCTCCTCCTCTCCTTGCAGGTGATTGTAGAGAAGGCTCCAAAAGCCAGGGTGCCTGATCTGGACAAGAGGAAGTACCTAGTGCCCTCTGACCTTACCGGTAATGCTCTTTGCCTCCCCTGACCCTTCCTCCCCTGACAGAGCTCTCCAGATCCTTATTATATGCATGAGATTGTGAGATTGAGAGGCAGTGCATACTTGAAAGAAGTAAGCGGGATGCCCCAGAGTTATCTGATTAAAAAATGACTCAGGCTGGGCACAGTGGCTCACACCTGTAATCCCAGCACTTTGGGAGGCTGAGGCGGGCAGATCATGAGGTCAGGAGATCAAGACCATCCTGGCTAACACGGGGAAATCCGTCTCTCCTAAAAAAAATACAAAAAATAAACTGGACTTGGTGGTGGGTGCCTTGTAGTCCCAGCTACTTGGGAGGCTGAGGCAGGAGAACGGTGTGAACCCAGGAGGTGGAGCTTGCAGTGAGCCGAGATCGCGCCATTGCATTCCAGCCTGGGTGACAGAGTGAGACTCTGTCTCAAAAAAAAAAGAAAAAAGACTCAGTAGTTCTTTCCCATCGCCATGTCTTGTTGGATTTTGACACAGCAAAGCATAAGACATTGAAAGAAAGGATCAGAAGCCCATTATTTAAACCCCTTTTATTTTTATTTTGTTTAATTAATTAATTTATTATTATTATTTTTTTAAGATGGAGTTTCGCTCTTGTAGCCCCGGCTGGAGTGCAGTGGTGTGATCTCAGTTCACTGCACCCTGCCATCTCCTGGGTTCAAGTGATTCTCCTGCCTCAGCCTGCCAAGTAGCTGGGATTGCAGGCACCTGCCACCACGCCTGGCTGATTTTTTTTGTATTTTTAGTAGAGACAGGGTTTCACCATGTTGGCCAGGCTGGTCTTGAACTGCTGACCTCAGGTGATCCACCTGCCTTGGCCTCCCAAAGTGCTGGGATTACAGGCGTGAGCCACCGTGCTGGGCCTAAACCAATTTTAAAATTCAGCTTTGGCTGGGTATGGTGGCTCACACCTGTAATCCCAGCCCTTTGGGAGGCCAAGGCCGGTGGATCATTTGAGGTCAGGAGTTCAAGACCAGCCTGGCCAACATGGTGAAAAACCCATCCCTACTAAAAATACAAAAAAATTAGCCAGACCTGGTGGCAGGCGCCTCTAATCCCAGCTGCTTGGGAGGCTGAGGCAGGAGAATCACTTGAGCCTGGGAGGCAGAGGTTGCTATGAGCTGAGATCGTGCCACTGCACTCCAGTCTCAGTGACAGAGTGAGACCCTGTCTCAAAAAAATAAAATTTAGCTTTGTGGCCGGACATGGGGCTCACGCCTGTAATCCCAACGCTTTGGGAGGCGGAAGTGGGCAGATCACCTGAGGTCAGAAGTTTGAGACCAGACTGGCCAACATGGTGAAACCCTGTCTTCATTAAAAATACAGAAATTAGCTGGATGTGGTGACGGGCGCCTGTAATCTCAGCTACTCAGGAGGCTGAGGCTGGAGAATTGCTTGAACCTTGGAGGCAGAGGTTGCAGTGAGGCGATATTGTGCCATTGCGCTCCAGCCTGGGTGACACAGTGACGCTCCGCCTCAAAAAAAAAAAAAAAAAATTCAGCTTTGTTAATTATGATGTCAATTTGTTCCAAAAAGAAAACCAGTGTGGTTTCTTGAGAGGATTATGCTTTAGAGTTTCCTGATTACATCTTCTTAAGCTACATTTTTTTTGAAATAAGTTTTGTAGATTTTGTTTGGGATTATAAGACATATATTCAGTCTTCATCTTGAGCCTTAATGGAATACACACTGCATCCAGGAGACACTGGAAAGATTTTGTTGATTTGCTTCAGAGTTAACAGGTTTGAATATCAGCCATCTAGAAAATTTTCAGTATTCTCAGGTAAAGGCAAAGCATTGAACCTTATTTAATGCCCCAACACTGAGTTGAGTGACTGTGCTAAGATGACCAGTGTCCAGTGGACCCCTTTCATTGCTAAGCTTTTCTTAGGGTGGGTCTGGGGATGGAAAGTGTTTCAAGTCGGGTTTAGACAATGATGGGAATGTTTTGGTCTGGATGCACATGGTATTCCTTCAGCGTAGTCCTCAGGCTTTGAGTGGATATGCTAACATGAGGTCTGAGATTGAATAAGAGGGGAAAGGGGGAATAAAGTCCACTATGGCATGTCAGGGACTGTACGGGCTTCTGAGTTTCCCTTTTTATTTTGAAAGCTCCAGGATAGTATTTGGCTCTTCTCAGGTGGTATATAAAACTGGTACTGACTCTAAGGGGAAAAAATGCAATTGAATTTTTTTCCAGGACTTACCATTCTACTAATTCCTTGTTTTCTTCCTTTCTTGTCTGCCTTTTTCTTCCATCATCCAGTTGGCCAGTTCTACTTCTTAATCCGGAAGAGAATCCACCTGAGACCTGAGGACGCCTTATTCTTCTTTGTCAACAACACTATCCCTCCCACCAGTGCTACCATGGGCCAACTGTATGAGGTAATGGTTCTAGCACAATACTGGATGCCGTCCAGGGCAGTCTGGCATCCTCTAGCTCTTGTTCTAGTATATGTTGATAACACAACTGAGAAGTGGGGCAGAAGGTGTTATTTATCCGGATCCTCTTACATATGGCAGTGTAAGGCTCTGAGAGATTAGATACCACTTGTTTTTCAGGGATTAGGCACTCTACTAGATTTAATCCTTTTGAAATCTCTTCTCAGTCTTGTCTGACTATAGTGTTTAATGTGGGATTGTTTATTGAAACAGCAGGAAGTGACTCCTGATAGCAAAAGTTCCAAAGCCTCAGCCCATCGCAGTTCCTGCTCTTCTTGTTGGTAGCCTGTAATTTGTAATGCATTCAGAATCCAGTTCATTATTTTACTCCCATTTAGCAACAGATTGAGAAAGCACATAATAGTAAAGCCAGCTTCTAACTCTGAGGCCAGCCTCCGCTACAGTCAGCTTCCTCTGTGAACTCTGAAGTTTGGCTTGAGACAAACACATTGATCTAAACAGGGGGAAACTTCTTCTTAGAACAAAACTAAAACTGTGAAACAGATTCCACATTATCTGGGCACAATGAATCAGATCAAATGAAATATAAAATTAAGGCAAAGTCTGTAAATGGATTCATTTGTCTTAACAGATAAACTGAGGAGGAATAATTTTTATGTGATTTTGTTTAATTGGAAGTGTCAGAATTTGGAGAAACTATAGTAAAGGACTTTATTATTACTAAAAATATAACCTAGGATTGTAACTATTATTTTTTGCAGTATTTTGCATAAGACGCTTCCTTCTCATTATGCCCTATTAATGGATTACATAAATTTATAATAATCCTGAATCTAGCTTTTATTGCATAGCATATATTCCCTGTTAGTATCTGCCCCTTATATATCCCATCTGTGGTATCTATGTTCCCCTTGCTAGGACTGAGCTCTTTAAGAGTGAGTACTGTGCCCCAGTCATCTTCATATCCCTGATACCTATGTGTAATATGTTTTCAGTGAAGGATTTTTGTTTGTGAACTCAGAGCTCAAAGTGTAATTCCAACCACTTCTCCTGATTCTTTGCTCCTCTTTTAAATGGGGATGAACGATACCTTCCATACCTGCTTTACAAGGTTGTGTGAGGCTTAGCATCTTAGAGCTAATGAATGAATATGTTTTCTAAACTGTTGTCTTATCTCTTCCCCTAGGACAATCATGAGGAAGACTATTTTCTGTATGTGGCCTACAGTGATGAGAGTGTCTATGGGAAATGAGTGGTTGGAAGCCCAGCAGATGGGAGCACCTGGACTTGGGGGTAGGGGAGGGGTGTGCGTGCGACTTGGGGAAAGAGGGTGACTCCCACCGCGAGGAGACGGAAGGTGAAGACATCTAGAAACATTACACCGCACACACCGTCATCATATTTTCACATGCTCAATTGATATTTTTTGCTGCTTCCTCGGCCCAGGGAGAAAGCATGTCAGGACAGAGCTGTTGGATTGGCTTTGGTAGAGGAATACGGATGATGTAATTTCACAGCATTCCTGAGATTTAATTTTTGTGCAGTTTCATAGAAGGGTCAGGAGGTGGACAAGTTGGGGCCAGAGATGATGGTAGTCCAGCAGCAACTCCCTGTGCTCCCTTCTCTTTGGGCAGCGATTCTATTTTTGACATTTGCACAGGACAGGTAGGGAAAGGGGACTTGTGGTAGTGGACCATACCTGGGGACCAAAAGAGACCCACTGTAATTGATGCATTGTGGCCCCTGTTCTTTCCTGTCTCACGCTTCTTTTCTCCCATCCCAGTTGCAGTCTCACTCAGACATCGCAGTACCGCCCCAGGGGTGGCAGTAGACCACAACCCGGAAATTTAGACAGCGATCTCTTACCTTTGGAAAATAGGGGTTAGACATAAAGGTGGTTATGATTAAGAAGATCATTTTGTTATTAAATAGCATTAAACTGGAATTGACAAGACTATTGAGCATCTCTGTCTAACCTGTTCTTTCTCTCTGGTGCCCCTTATCTCACCCCTACCTTGGAATTTAAGTCTCAGGCATTTCCAGTTGTAGACTAAAACCACTCTTAGCATCTCCTCTAGTATTTTCCATGTATCAGGACAGAGATATGTAGGGAGGGAGCAAGTGTGAAGTAAGGTAATTATTATACACCTCTCATTCAGGATTGTTGCTCCCATGCTGCTGTCCCTTCAGGCTCACACGCACAGGAATGCTATGTGATGGCCAGCTGCCTCCCTCCTTGGTTATCATCCACTGCAGCTGCTAGTTAGAAAGGTTTGGAGGGATGACTTTAGTAAAACATGGGGATTTTATTGATTTATTTTCACTTTTGGGATTTTGTGGGGTGGGAGTGGGGAGCAGGAATTGCACTCAGACATGACATTTCAATTCATCTCTGCTAATGAAAAGGGTCCTTCCTCTTGGGGGAAATCTTTGTGTCAGTTCTGTCAGCTGCAAGTTCTTGTATAATGAAGTCAATGCCATCAGGCCAAGGAAATAAAATAATTGCTTACCTTAAAAATCCACTGAGTTCAGCAATGTTGTCTTTATTTTGTGTGTATTAGAATAGATGACATGTGGACTCTGAACAAAAGAACTAAGTGGGGAAAGCTGTTCATGACGAATGTTCACGTATGGTCAGACCCATATATGTTTCCTCAGGTCTTTAGTGAGCAGGAGTTGCTGTTCAAGGGTGAATGTTACGCTGGGGCAGTGTGCCTGCTGCGTTGGAGGGGTGTGTGTGTGTGTGTGTGTATGTATGTGATTTTCGCCTCCAAAGATAAGTGCATTGTCACTGTTCTATGTGTTTCTGAAAGCTGAAGGTGGAAGACTGCCTACGTAGAGTGTAAGGGGTGGGCTGTGCTAATTACAAATGCAGATGTCTAGGCCATCGCCCAGATTTAGCTGACTCAGAATCTCAGCGTAGGTGTCTAATTTTTAACAAGCTCATATGACTGCTGCACACTGAAGTTTGAGAGTCATTGCCTTTTTATTTGAGGTGGAGTTTCACTCTTGTTACCAGGGCCGGAGTACAGTGGCACGATCTTGGCTCACTGCAACCTCCGCCTTCTGGGTTCAAGCGATTCTCCTGCCTCACCCTCCCGAGTAGCTGGGATTACAGGCACCAGCCACCATGCCCAGCTAATTTTTGTATTTTTAGTAGAGATGGGGTTTCGCCATGTTGGCCAGGCTGGTCTCGAACTCCTGACCTCAGGTGCCGAGAGTCATTGCCTTTTGCACCAGGTTTTGCTGTAGGTCCCAACCACACCTTACTCTTCCATTACAACTTGGTCAGTCTGAAGCCACCATCTCCCAAAGCAGCAAATAGCACCTAAGCAAGGCTCCCAGCATCAGAACAAGCTTGGTGTCTTCTGACCATATGAAAGTCTTGTTCAGTCATTCAGGAATGAATATGTGGGTGGTCTGTGAGCATGCAAGTCAAATGAGACAATGGAAAACATTAGTGCAAACTTCTTTCATGAAGAACCTTAAAACCCATCTCTAACCCTCTCTAATCTCTTGCAGTCATATCCCCAAGTGACGTCTACCTCTGTAGAGAGTTATGGAATATATCAAGGTCACCAAAAAGGAAGTGGGAAGTTATAAAAGATCCATGCCCAGCAGCACCACAGGTAGAAAATTATGTAAGATGACGGAATTTTGATGAAGCCGTTGAAAATGGACACTTATCCCTACTGACAAAAATATCAAGGTGCTGTTCCCTAATAAAACCAAAAGGAAGCTAATTGAGTTAAGATGTGAACTGTATTTTGAGACTAACAGACTTATCCACTACCTAGGAATGAGACTGGATGAAGATTTAAAAGAAAGCAAACATAGCAGATCCTAACCCTTTGTACACATCTGGAACAGTCCCTGTAGAGCAAGAGACTGTAGGCCATTGCTAAACCAAAGAGATAGTTTGAATTTAGGGGCTGTGTCTTTGCCAGGTAGGCTTTGATTATTTTAGGCCTACTTCTGGATTTTTCTAAGGAACAAATTTTTTCCTTGGATAGGACATTACCTACCATTTTAGACAAGCTGTCTGATTTTATGGAACAATGGAGTTTAACAGCCAAATTCAGAGGCAAAAGGCACACCAGCTGTTTTGGCAGTCTGGATTGGATTTGGCACTTTTTTTTTTTTTTTTTTTTTTGAGACGGAGTCTCGCTCTGTCGCCCAGGCTGGAGTGCAGTGACGCGATCGACTCACTGCAAGCTCCACCTCCCGGGTTCACGCCATTCTCCTGCCTCAGCCTCCCGAGTAGCTGGGACTACAGGCGCCACCACCTCGCCCGGCTAATGATTTTTGTATTTTTAGTAGAGACGAGGTTTCACCGTGTTAGCCAGGATGGTCTCCATCTCCTGACCTTGTGATCCGCCCGTCTCGGCCTCCCAAAGTGCTGGGATTACAGGCTTGAGCCACCGGGCCCGGCCGGATTTGGCCCTTTACTGGAGGTCAGTGCTTCTCAGCGCCACTGTCTTGGTTTCTGCTAGTCAAGCTTTTAATGCTTCTTTGTGCCATCAGGCCACTGTGAAGCTTGTCATGAGCTAAAAGTAGTTTAAGAAGCCCTTCATTAACCTGGCCCGATGTTCCATGTTAGATTAGATTGTTAGATTGGCTTGCTCTGATTGACTTGCTTTTCTCTGGGGACAGTGTTTGAAAGATGTGTCAAATGAGATTAGGGAGGCCAGTATGACATGAACATCAAAGATGAGTGAGTCCTTAGCTCTTCGATATACTTTGGTAGAAGGATCTCAAATATATGTAGGGTAAGTATACATCTAAGTTTGCCAAGGAGAGTCTTGAATTAATGCCCATTGTCCTGATTGATTTATTAGTGGTTCCTTATTTCACAGTTACATGACCCCCCAGTGGACAAAATACGTGGTCACTCTGTATGTAGTATAAAAATTGAAACCTCTTCCATCAAGAGACACACAATGTCTGTGCTATCTAGGTTTAGTGCTCCCCAGTGTGGCTCTTACCCTGTCAGGTGGAGGGAGACTAGACAAATCATTCTACTTGTGAATGGCAGACTATTCTGCTTTTCTTGATTTTTCCCCTAATGCTGACTTGTTTTCCTCTTTCAAAGCATCGTGCACTTGTTAATTTTTTTTTACTGTATTGTGCAATCAGAAGTTAAGATTGCAAGAGAACAAAGCAAATTATGATTAATCTACAGTAGTAACCAGGCAGACAAGATCACTGCCTCGTGCACTGCCTCATCACTATATAATGTGAATAGAGCCCCCCAGAGTGATGCAGTGCAGTCCCCTGGTCCCTGCAGTGGCCCTTTGGACACAAATCTTGTCAGTTACAGTTGCCTTGAGAAGGTTACACTTATTAAGCGTACAATTCTGTATTCTATTGGTGGTGGTACCATCAGATAGAACAGGTATGGTGTAATTTTGAAGTGGTATGTGGAGGGGGGCATGCATATCCACCTGCCCATGGGTACAGCATCACGTCAGCTGTAATAATGAAAAATTCAGTCATTTTGGAAAATGAACTGGTTGATAAATTCATATTAGTTCTTATACAAAATTTATAATGAGCTATTTCTAGCTGTGGTTTCTTTTGGATGTTTTTACTTTACCAGATTTAAGCAAGCTACAGATATTTATTTAACTTGTTATTTTTAGCTGCACGAAACTACCAAGTATTTCAGGAACAAGTCCATTTTGCCGTTGGTGATTCTGAGTCCAGGCTATCTGAGTAATGGAGAATTCCCTCCTCGCCTGTGCCCGCCGCTCAGCGACCCACCCCTTTGTTCACCTTTGATAAATAGCTCAACAACAACAAAAAGTCCACACACACAAAAACTAGAATCTCTCTTCCAAAAGCTGTGACTGATGATCTCAGCTTAGTTACCCTGTGTAGGGCCCTACCTCATTTTCTTTTCCTTTTTTTTTTTTTCCCGTCCCAGTTATGGGCACTTCTTAAGTACATGTACCCACGGCTAGATTATTTTCAGAGTTTGAAATAACAGGAAGTGATCACCCTTAGAAGTAGTCAAATGACATTTCACTATGCCATTGTGCAGGTGTGCATGTTTTCAACAGTGACTAACAAAAGACAAGTCATTCTCCTGGTGTGTTTTCATCAGTGTACAGCCGTCTATTTCAATAGTTCTGTTTTCAAAAGCAGTGTATTTAAGACCCTAGGACTTCTGTTTACAAGTACTTAGCTCCTAGGACTTGAATGAAGTGATCCTGAACTCTTGGGTGAGAAGTTGAAACATGTTTTCTATTTTTACACTTGCAGTAGGCTCAAAGTTGCTTCATGCCATTCAGTAAAAGAATGATGATGGCTTTATTGCTTCTTTAAGCAATATGCACCTGGTATTCGAAGAATAAGAGTAACAATAAGCCATATTTTACCTGCTAAAATTGGCTAGTTCCTAACCTTCTTCAAGTCTTAGATATTATGTCAAGGAGACCAACTCTGAACATCTCTAATATTCCAACACCTTCCACCCACTTTGGCATATGGTTGGCATTCAAAAATGTTGAAATAGTAGTTTCTGATAGGACTGAACACTAGGCAACTTAAATTATCCAGAAAAACACGTTACAAACAGACCAGTCAAGTAACTTTGGGAAACCCTTGGAGCTTACTAGAAAGCTGTTCTGGAGGCAGGAAACAACTTGAATCCCAGCTCTGCTGCTTGACTAGAGCTGGGACGTGGGCTAGTCTATCATCTGTACAAACGAAATTTGCATTTCCAGGCTGGGCGCAGTGGCTCATGCTTGTAATCCCAGCACTTTGGGAGGCTGAGGCAGTTGCATCACCTGAGGTTAGGAGTTCAAGACCAGACTGGCCAACATGGTGAAACCCTGTCTCTACTAAAAATACAAAAATTAGCTGAGCATGGTGGCGCACACCTGAGTCCCAGTTACTCGGGAGGATGAGGAAGAAAAACCGCTTGAACCTGGGAGGCAGAGGTTGCAGCAAGCCAAGATTGCACCACTGTGCTCCAGCCTAGGCAACAAAGTGAGACTCCACCTCAAAAAAAAGAAAAAAAAGAAAATTCTGCATTTGCTTATCAAGTAGATAAGATAATTACATCATACATTGTTGCCAATACTAAGTAAATCCTTTGCACACCTTTAAACAGCATTCTTACATACTAAGATTCATTTTACTTGAAACTGAAATGGCAATAACTGGCCAGGTGCGGTGGCTCACGCCCGAGACCATCCTGGCCAACATGGTGAAAACCCATCCCTACTAAAAATACAAAAATTAGTTGGGCGTGGTGGTGGGAGCCTATAATCCTAGCTACTTGGTAGGCTGAGGCAGGAGAATTGCTTGAACTGGGGAGGCGGAGGTTGCAGTGAGCGGAGATCGTGCTATTGCACTCCAGTCTGGGAGACAAGAGCAAAACTGTCTCAAAAATAAAAAAAGGCAATAACTTAGGCTAGCTGGCAGAAATCTTTCTGATTGTTTCTCTTTTATTTATTGGTCATAGCAAATGCAGGATGTGGCATGGATCAAGGAAAACAAAGCAGAATATGCCGAA